CCGGGCAGCCCCGGCTTCCCCGCATCCCCCCTCCGCGCTTCGCGGCGGGAGGCTAGGGGGAACCGGGCCGGCCGGGCAAGCCGGGACCCCGCGGCCCCCCCGGGGAGCCGGGCCCGCCGGGCCCTCGGGGGCCTCCGGGGGAGCGGGGGGATGCGGGGAAGCCGGGGCTGCCCGGGCTGCCGCTGGCGGGGACGGGCGGCGGCGGCAGCGGCGGAGGAGCGGCGGCGGGCGGCGAGGCGGCGGGCGGGCTGAGCGCTGCCTTCGGGGGGCCGCGCATCGCCTTCTACGTGGGGCTGAAGAGTCCCCACGAGGGCTACGAGGTGCTCAAGTTCGACGACGTGGTGACCAACCTGGGCAATCACTACGAGCCGGCCAGCGGCAAGTTCACCTGCCAGGTGCGCGGCATCTACTTCTTCACCTACCACATCCTTATGCGGGGCGGCGACGGCACCAGCATGTGGGCCGACCTCTGCAAGAACGGGCAGGTGAGTGCTCGCGTCCCGGCCCGGCCGCGCTCTCACCGTGCGGCCCCCGCCGTCGGGGCCGGCGCGCACCGACGACCGCGGTCACGGGGAGGGGGAAGCGGGCGGGGAGCGGTGTGGGCACGGACGGGGCTGACAGGGCTGTGCCGCAGGTGCGGGCCAGCGCCATCGCGCAGGACGCCGACCAGAACTACGACTACGCCAGCAACAGCGTGGTGCTGCACCTGGACTCCGGCGACGAGGTGTACGTCAAGCTGGACGGAGGCAAGGCGCACGGGGGCAACAACAATAAGTACAGCACTTTCTCTGGCTTTCTTTTATACCCCGATTAAAGCGCGGTGAGCGACGTGGCCCAGCCGATCCCACGTTTCCCCTCTGACTCCCGTTGTGCCGCGGTTCCCTGATGCTCTCCGCGGGTCACTTCAGCTTCGTTATCGGTTTCTATGTTTTTCTTTTTTTTTTCTTTTCCCGTGGAAACAAAATACACGTGAACAACGCGACCCCTCCCTGGCTGCCCCCTTTCCCTGACCCCCGTCCTCATGTCAGTGTTCTGTGTCACACCAGGAACCTGCAGCCAGAAACCCAAGAGGTTCCTGCGCTGTATCAGAGATTCAGAGATCAGCCTGTGCCATACACAGCATTTGAACTGCTCGATCATTATTTTTTTGGTCAATGAATATTAACTACAATGATGAATTTTCAGATGGATTATTCATGATGTGGCACAGGACCATATTTTTCCTCTGCTGCTTCATTTGTATGGGATCAAATGTAAACTTTTCCGTGCAATGCGATGCTCGTGTGAATGATGGTGTCTCTAACGTCAAACCTGTTCCTGTCTGCGAAAGAATTCAGTCGTTGACCACACTCAACAAAATATCACATTAAATTATGTTTTTAGACAATGGCTTCTCACTGTGTGTCTCTTCTGGTGCTGCAGAGGAGCCCTGCACTGGTGGCAGGGGGTGGGAGGTGTTGCTTCAGCCCTTTAGGTTTGCAGTGACATTAAAAGTTTGGATGGGACACCTTATCTAGAACATGATTGGGGCTCAAGAGGTCTGGGAAGAAGTAGGAAGAGGAAAAAGCCCTTTGCCTTTATGTGGTTTTGTAAAGAAGGTGTAAAGAAGGCACAGCATCAGCAAGGGGTGGAGGTGGGTGTGCAGAATGGATCTCCTGAACATCCATGGGGCAGAGCCTGACCCAGAAGTGCTGAAGAACACAAAAATCATTTTGTCAGCAGTGAGAGAAAGCTGTGTTCCAGCACTGTGCCAAACAAGTGCAAAAGTGTGTGGGGACAGAAGTGAGCCCCTACAGCTCAGTGCAGATGTGCGCTGAGCTACAGCTGACAGTCAGCTCCAGGACAGGGATAAGAGAAGCTCAATGGGACTTGATTCACACCACTTACACTGGTAAATCCTGGGCACAGTGTGTTTTTGTAAAGGTGTGTGATGGTGTGCGTAGCCCTGAGCTCTTCCACGAGCAATGGGTGAGCTGCTCTATTTGGGTAAAATGGGATTTCCTGACTGCGAGGGAGTTAATTGAGTTACAGATGCTGGTTCCCTGTTTTGCTCTCACTTTCACCAACTGCAGCATCTCTGTGCTGACTCACATCTGGGATGGACTCACTCCAGCCCCACACTGGGCAGCCCAGCAATGGCTGTGCTCTCACAGTCCCCTATCAGCCCTTGATGGGATGTGTCCCCTCGTTGGCTGCGCAGAGGGCCACAGCGTGCCCTGTTCCAGGAGGGAAGAGGCAGTTCCTGCCTTCATCCCATCCTCCAGCTTTGCCTGGCCAAGGGGAGCAGAGTTCATAACCGGGTACATGCGTTCAACAATTATCAATCTCCAACACCTTGTCGATTTGTACCATTTAGAATATGATTAAAAGCAGTGTCTCAGACCCAAATGAAGTATAATTGCTATGGATCCCCAATTCCCTCCGGATCTGTAATCCTTTTTGACTATTCCTCCCCCCCCCCCCCCCCGACGAAATGGAGCTTAGACACAAAGCCCTCGGTTTAAATTTCAAAAAATTAAAATTGACATGCAGCAGCATTAGCAGGAGCCAGGAGGAATTCTAAGGAGGTGCCTGGGCTCCGCTTTATCCTTTGCATTAAGAAGCAATTTGTACTTCTAACAAAGACCCAACTGTTCCCCCTTGGCAAAAGGGCAATGAAGATGCCTTGCAAGGGAATTGCTGTTCACAATACTTAAACAAATTTGAATCTTAGATTTTTAAATCTGTATTCCCCGGTGGAGCCCGCTCCTTGCAATTCTAATGCGGGGCTGGTGGTGTGTGCCTGCCAAGGTGTCAGCAGCTAAGCAGATGATGGATTGATGAGGCAATGGGAAGACACAGGCTCGTGGTGGCGGTTTGCCCCGACAGTGATCTATGTATCTGCACATTATCAATGTCATGAGGAGCCTCGAACCACCCTCACTAGATGTCTCATTTTCCACTTATCTCTTATGTACTATTTATCGGGCTGGATTATTCCCTGGGATAGAAACAAAAAAAAAAAAATGCTCCTTGCCACTCCACTGACAGTTTACACAATCAATGGAAGGATCGTCTGCTGGCTGCTTGCGTGTTTTTCTGCTCCCCTCCTCCTGGCAGAGCTCCGAGATGGCACTGGAAGGTGTGGGAGCTGTTCCCACCATGGCTGTTGGGACAGAGTCCTCCTAGTGCACCTTGGGGTGCAGGTTGCATTTTTTTTCCCCCCAGTTTCACCCATAGAATTGTAGAATCATTATGTCTGTAAAAGACGTGCAAGATCACCTGGTTCAACCCCAACCCATCCCCACCGGCTACATCCCTCAGTGCCACACGGTTCTTGAACACCTCCAGGAACAGCGACTCCCCCACCTCCCTGGGCAGCCTGCTCCAGTGCCTCAACACTCCTCCTGAGAAGAATTTTTTTCTTAATATCCTACCTGAACCTCCCTGGCATAACTTGGGGCCTTACCTCTCATTTTGTAACCAGCTGTGTATTCAAAATAATGATAAAAGCAGTTCAGATAATATTAAAAACAGTAGGTATCTGTGCTCTCACAGCAAGATGTTGCAGCAATAAATCCTGGATCTTTATGCCCCTGGTGGGAATCCGTTACCCTGCCCATGGGCTGGGGAAGTGAAGGTTTCCCCAAATTCCTCCTCAATCCTCCTCTTGCCGAGCAGAGTGAGAGAGTCCCTGACCCAGCTCCTGTTTCCTCCCATTTGCCAGTGCTTCTTTTTGTGCCTTCTGCCTTTACACACACATGTACTGAGCCACACACTGCTCTCAGGCTTCCCACTGTTGGAACTCACCGTGGCCATTTTTCTCGGTGATTTAATGCTTGCTCATCTCCTTGCTTGTCTCCTTCAGGGTTTCCAGTGCCTGATGGACTCAATCTGTGAGCGCACAAAGCAGGGAGGCTGGGTTTGTTGAGCCTTTGCACAGCCTCTTTCTTTTCACACATTAAAGAAGTCTGTGTAGGACTAAAACAAAACAGCATGTAAATCTATTTATTATGTTCCTATTAAATACCTTTTTTTCAGTAACATGTGACTTTTTTCCCCTTACCCTTATTGGATTGAACTCTGGGAAGAATTCCAGCTAAGATCCCATGTCTCTGTATTGTCTCTGGGATAAAGGAGCCTGTCAGAATGAAATAAAGACTAACTGCATCTTCACTGACTTTGAGGCTCCAAAGGGTTTGGGCCTTTTTGCTGTATGGAGATGGGGAAGATTGATTATGGGAGATGAATGGCAGGCATGCAGGCACTGACACAGTGGTGAGAGCCTCCTCTGGGGTTGCTCCATGTCTGAGCTCCAAGATGTGCAGCTTGATAGAAAGTTATGGCTAATGTGCCAACAGGGTCCACTTCTCTCAGCTAGTTCTGTTTCCCTAGGCCAGGGCTATGCTGATTCAGATTTGTGCTCCTTGGTCACCTCTCAGTTTTCCCTGGAGGTCACCACACTTCTCCCCTGACGCAAGGCTCTATCCAGATCCTCTTGGGCAGCTTTTTCATCACTGGCCATCAAGGCATTGTGAGGCGGCCAGCAGAGGGCAATGCTGGTTGCCTGCAAACAGCCTGTGTGATTTGGTAGCCTAGACTTGAATACCTACCTATTGAAATGCCTTATCTGGAGTACTGTGTCCAGGCCTGGGGCTCTCTCAGCACGGGAGGGGTGAGAGGCTGTTGGAGCAGGACCAGAGGAGGGCCACAAGGATGACCAGAGGGTTGGAGCACCTCCCTCCTATAAAGAGAGGTTGAGGGAGGTGGGCTTGTTTAGCTTGGAGAAGAGAAAGCTCCACAGAGATCTCATTGTGGCCTTCCAGTACTTGAAGGGAGCTTACAAACTGGAGGAAAACTAGTTTTTTGTTGTTGTTCTAAAATGATCTCATAGTGATAGGACAAGGGGGAAATGGCTTTATACTAAGAAAGTAAGAGATTTAGGCAAGATATGGGGAAGAATTTTTTTACTCAGAGGATGGTGAGGCACTGGCTGCCCAGAGAGTTGTGGGTTGGTGCCCCATCCCTAGAAGTTCTCAAAGTTGAGTTGGATGGGGCCCCAGGCAGCCTAAGCTAATGAGTGGCTAAAGGGAAAAGCAATGGCAGATAACCAGTTCCAAATTACTGAAAAAGGGTAATGGTCACAATCCAGTTAAAGAAAGAAAGTTTTACTTACCCACCCCAAGGATCAGAGCTTACCAAACACTCCAAAAGAAAAGATCTCCAAGCAGAGATCCTTTCTTTGTGGCAGCCAGCCCTTAAATGAGGCTTAGGAAGGGGTGGAACCTGGTTCCATCCCTTCTGGTTGCACAGGTGGAAGCAATTCACCTGTGCTCCAAGGGCTGGCTGTGTTCCTTCACCAGGTGCTCCAATATTGGTTCAGGCCCTGACTTAGCAATTCCCATGTAGTGGCAATCAGCCACAGCAGGAGGTTGGACTAAGTAGGCTTTAAGGTCCCTTCCAACCCAACCATTCTATGATTCTCTGATGGTGTTTTCTCCCTCCGTGTTCAAGGTAGAGCCTTTAGGTGCTTAAGGTCACATCCTGAAGGAGCTGAATGCTGCAGTGCCCTATATAGTGTGTTTCTGTAGGAACTGTGTGTTATAATTGTGGACAAATTCCTGTCTTCTCTGAGTTCTTCCAATTACGAGACACCCTGGATTAACCATTACCCTGTGCAGCACAGCTCTGCAGATTTTCTTTGCAGGGGGCTGGTGACGTATCTCTCTATTTCATTTGCTCCTGCTCTGTGCTTTTTGGCACTGGCTAGGTCAGAACCAGAAAAGACCCATCTGATCCCTGTGATCTGCTGCCCTGCTAATGCAGGATTATTTC